CTCACCGCTGAATAGCTTAATTGTGGTCTTCTTTCACTGGGATGGGCCAGTCCACTGGGATACAAGCTTTCCTCTCATTTTACACTCTGACTGTGGAAATATATACAAACGATACACAGAAGATTGCATTTTGTCAAAAAGGAAATTTGAAACAGATGTTTTTAGAGTCTGGAACAGAAAGAGAATGAAAAAATCTTTCATTAAAACTACAGCACGATAGTGGGTGTGCTTTTTCCCTTTTGTATCACATCATTCCAGATGGAACCATAGCGTAACATATGATAGACTTTTGTACTGTGTATGCCTGATACCCTTTATTTTGGAGTCCTGTAGCTCAGTGGTTAGAGCATTCGCCTCACAAGCGAGAGACTTGGGTTCAATTCCTGGCAGGGCGAAACCTTGGGCAAGTTTCCTTACTCCACACGTCTGATAATAACCCCTCAAGAAAAAAAATAATAATTATTTGGTCATTTGAATCCATGACTGTTTGTGGGACATTGCTGTGCTCAATTGGCTGCCGCATTTCACCCACAAAAATACAGTCAATTCACTTTACAGTCTATTCTGTGAAGCGCTGTGAGACGCCTAGAAGACGTGAAAAGCGCTATATCAAATTCAAGGATTATTATTATTATTTTATCTAGAAGCCCAAGAGTTGAACAGGATTTGTACCAGCATAAATACAAACCACAAATGCCGATAAAAGGTTTAGCCCAAAACTTTTAAGCGTTTCTGCCACAAAAATACACAGTCAATTTACTTCACAATATATCCTGTGAAGCGCTTTGAGACATCTCAACAACGTGATTAGGCGCTATAATCAAATGCATGATTATTATGATTATTATTATAACACTAATCTGTTTTTTCTCTTTCAGATGCTGATTATCCAACTCCAGGTCTCCAGCATTTTTTTTATTTGTAAGAGCATGTATTTAAAGAGAACAATACATTAATCAGCAATGCAGTTAGTCTGCGAAACTTCCACAACTAACGTATTCAAATTTGAGATACTAAACAACGTATGTTTTGTGCTCTGTACAATTTTTTTCAAAACAGTAGTCAGACTCGGTTAAAACTGTTTTAACGGCACAGACACACACAGCGAAAGCTGGCACCAAGAGAATATTCCTCTGTCAGATTCAAATAGAATAGATTTCTGCAAAGAAATGTTGCTTTGGATACTGCAATGGAAACCCATGTAGATTTGTCAAATGTCTTTGCACTATTATTTTTGTTGAGGGGAAAGGGGGAATGATTTGCTCTCCACTGGGTAGGGGGATGTCATTAGGGCAGATCCCCTTTGATGTCTATGACAATCACAAAGCTTTGAGACTTTCAGGACTGATGTCCCAAAACATCTGGATCCAGAAACATGACTAGACACATTGCCATAGATCATACTGGAATCATCCTTCAAATCAGGATGGATTTTTCCACATATGTGTGGGATGGGAAGCACTCAGTGTGTCATTTAAATGACTCCTCATGCATTTTGCTGCAAGTGATGGTTGCAAAAATCTGTTCAAATATCTTTTGTCATTTCTTACTTTGTTGTCTAGAAAGCTAAGCTTTGTTCCCAGACCCTTTCCATCTTTCTGCTGTAACTCGTGCTTAAGAGTAGAAATGTGTTTACAAAATGTATCCATCAGAATCCTGCAGACTCACTCAACCCAATTGCTTTATACCATAATCCCCAAAACTGCACAGCCACAGTGGGCCCAGGTTCAACAACTGAGGGACATGCCTGACCCAACAAGGCACCTAACCCCAACTCCTCCCAGTATCCAAAGAATCGCTGATCTCAATCTTCTTAAGTTACTCGATGTAAACACCTGCACGTACAATACAACATGCATTGCATTTGTTCTATATCCAAAGACAACATGCAAGCTTTGCCAAGTTCAATACAACAAAGCAGAGTTACACAACACATTAATAAGCAAACTGCGTCATCTGAGATCAGTGCCAACATTTCTCAAACATTCTCAATGTTTGAGTCATGCAGTGTTGGGAGTCTCTCCTGACAGTTTAGTACTTAGTACAAAATGTGTGAAATGAATTAGCCCACATTACAGTGTATTTTATGGAAAGTTAGACACGCTTCACTGCAAAGCGTATTTTTCAGTACTCTGGAGGTTTAGAATTTATGAACAATGAACACCAAACCCTGTAGAATGGGTGTAACTGAAACTCTTAGAGAATAATGGTATCCTACATCTGCAAACAATTGATGCAATAAAGGGGAGTACATATATATTGATATGACTGGCAAAATTGCTTTTTTAACTAGTTGTTTTTTAGCTGTCTGTGATTTTATGAAACCTAGCGGTGATGCTACAATGTCATTGTCATTTCATTGTTATTATCCGGTTACTATAACTTGGTGAAAGTGGATTTAATAGGCTATATTTCCAAATCAGATGATCTCGAATTAGAAATTGTTAGAGAGAAAAAAAAGTAAAGATTTGCATACCCTGCTGGTAAAAGTAGCTACTAGTACAGTGTATGTGTCAGTTATGTCACAGCATGACTGGATAGAGCTCACTCTTTTAATCTCTGAGCGAGCAAATTTGTCACTTAGGACAAGCTATTATGGTTTGTTCATGAGACAATGAAATTTGGAGAATCCACAGCCTTCTGACTCAGAAGTGACAGTGATACCAACTGAGTCAGGCTGACAGCTAAAGGCACTGTCTCAAATGCCAAGCTTATTATAACATAAATGTTTATTTAGCATTGAATAGATTTTCTGAGTTAAACAGATTTAAACTGAGGTCAGTCTTGTCCTTGTTACTATTGGTCATTTGTGAATCTTGACAGTCAGTGTTATTTGGCTATACAATCTAGGAGTGCATCGCACATGAGCCAAATAATGTTCTCGTCCAACTTTGAGACCCATGTAGCCATCATTAGATAGTAATCAGGAGTAGGACCCTTCTCCTATGTTTCCCCAATCTAGCTATGGCCAATTGTAGAGTACGGAATTTCTGCCCCAGGTGAGATCAGCAAACTCAACACAAACTGGGACTGCAATCTGTAACCTTCTGTTACATGGCTTAATGTATCCTGTCGGGAAAGTAATTGGAATTAAGGCTGACTTGCTAATTAACTGAGAAACTATGGAATCTACATAAATTAACACATTATTGTTCAAACAAATAATGTCCGCAGTCAAAAACCAAAGCTTGAAAATCTCGTTAAAATTCAAAGTAAGATCCTGACTTCAAAGCAAAACCTTTAAGTGTTATTCGTATCTCATTTGACTATAAAGAGGTCATTTTAAAAGGAGCGGTTTTCTATGTGCTTTTTGTTAGAAAAGCATTAGCTCATCCTCCAAGGTTAATCAGCGAGTGCAAGTATGCGGAGGATACTTAATCTCTGAGAACAAAAAGGAGGAGAAAATGCAAAACACCTTCGATGTGTTAAAAAGCAGTTTAGATCTGCAGCTGTTATTTTTAACAAGACTATAAAGGAGCAAGCTTTTTAAATTGGTTTAGTACTTTTGATTTCATATTGCAACATATTATAAAAAGCCAAACAAGCTAATTGCTATACTTTTAGATAAATACATTTGCTGCTTTGTGTTAGTCTGCAGTGAAATATTTACCTCTTCAAAGAGAGTAATAATAATAATCCTTGCATTTGATAAAGTGCTTTTCACGTCTTCTAGATGTTTCAAAGCACTTCACAGAATATACTGTAAAGTGAATTGACTGTATATTTGTGGGTAAAAGACGGCAGCCAATTGCACACAGCAGTGTCCCACAAACAGTCATGGATTGAGTGACCAAATTGTTATTTTATTTATTTCCTTGAGGGATTATTATCAGGCATGTGGAGTAAGGAAACTTGCCCAAGGTTTCGCCCTGCTGGAAATCGAACCCAGGTCTCTCGCTTGCGAGGCGAGCGCTCTAACCACTGAGCTGCAGGACTCCACAAAGGAGTGTGAAACAAAGGGATGAAACACTTCAATAAAAAGTTTTCCCTTTTAAAACTCAAAATGACTTCTGAATAAATTGTACTGTTGCTGCTGGTTTCTGTGTTATCCTCTTTGCAGAGGTGCACTGCATTAAGAACGCCACAAAGTATTTTGTTACTTAATTGAATACATGTACGATATTCTATTATGAACAACATTAAATCCACTTTTCGTAGGGTAACAAACGTGTAATCGTTCTGAGTTACATGAACATGTAACTGATATGAAATAACAAAAATAGATGACATTTAAAGAAATGTAACTCTCGAGTCATCAATCAAATGTGATGGTGCATAAATATTACCAAGAACTCAGTTAAACAGAAGGTTCACAAGTGCTACCAGAACAGTTCTGTTTAATAGCATAGTTACCTCGTCTATTTCAGGAACATGCACACAATTTTCTGGGAATTGTTTGAGCTTAATTAGAATATCATTGTCCAATATATTCACAAAATAAACGTAACTTGGCACATTACAATTTAAAAGTAACTGATGGACCAGCATTCTTTGATAAGGAGAAAGAAATGCTAATGCATAAAAGCTTCAACATTAAATACTGATGGCTAAGGAATATTCAGATAGAATGTTTACCAAGAAATCTACAAGACAAGTTACATAGGAAAGTCAAAGCAGTCATTTTTAAATGGTTTTGAAAAACATGTTAGATTTCAGGTGGAAGATTATTTTAACTTGTATCAAACTGACTTTCTCCGACCATAATATTTAAATTTGGACAAACGGATTAATTGGTTAGGAGTAAACTAAATATACAGCACTTTTACAAAAAGTAAAAAAAGTATGTGCATTCACAATTATATTTAAGAAATTTCTACATACAAATATACCAAGAATAAATTGAACTGAATCTCAACATGAACATAGATTAAATATATAGAAAAATAACTTTAATGAGCAACATTACCTTTTTATAGTCATAAAGTTGTAGGGGGAAAACAGTAGAATGCAGCATATCACTTTACAGAGGGTGATTTTCTTTTTATCTGAGTTATATTTTAACTCACAAAGCATAATTTACCAAAAGCATCAACAGAAGTAGGTTAATCAAGTGCGAAAGTTCACAAGGGCAGTTGCCACTTTACTGAAAAATGAAAACAATGGCTGCCATAGAAACTGAGATGGTAGTAATAAGACATCTTGGTGTGGAACTTCCTGTGGCATTTTTAGACTCTGACATTGCTGAAACTCTGTCCTTGCTTCTTGGATTCAGGAGTTGCTTGTGTAGAGTCACATCATCCTCGACTGTTCCATCCCCGCATCCTGCATAACAAACCACATAGACCTCAATAAAGCTGTCTGTTCTAATAGCGCGTGCTCCATTTAAGACAACGCCTTTTAAGATTCGAAAACTTTAAATACACAAACGGCTTCATTTTATGGATGCTTCAGCATGTTTAAGCTACCTGAGATGCTACCCGCGTTAAGGACGCTTATATAATTGCAAGTTATTGTGGTGGGTTAATGGGGAGGCCATTTTTTTAAGTTAAGAGAAAAAAGCAGCAAATAATTTCAAGACAAATTAATTCTGATGAAATTCATGAGCACTTTGGAACACCAATGCAGAATGGGGTCAGGAAAATATTCCCACAAATCTCCGCTATCTGCACCTCTCCATACACCCAAATATTGCTGAGGTTCATCTATATGCGTAAATTAATATATCACCCGGTGTTTTCCACAAACGTAGTGTTTAACTAATGCACATCCAATTTGCAGAGCCAGTTATTAAAATCTGCAGTTGACAGTAATGAAGTATTAAATTAACAAATCTGGTTGCATTTATCTCCAATGTGGGGTTGAAAGGAAATCCCAAGAAGTTCTTCTACTACGTTTATTTGTGCTGAATAACTGACTGAACGGCAGACCAGATGGTGACTACCTTAGGGCATGGTCAAGGCACCTGTATAAACATTCCCAACTCTATGTCACATCTGATACACTCTGTCAAATGTTGGAGAAGAATCTGTTAAGAACGAAAGCACTAAAATAAAACCAATAATTCAAATGGAATCTCCTTTAATTGGCTCCAGGTTTAAATCATATATGGATTTACCAAGAAAAATTGTTGCAGATTTCTTCGTTACTTGATCTACCTAAGTCTATCTCCCAATTTAATTCAGCCATGTCAGTTATCAGCTTGAGATTCTGAAAGAAAAGGTGCACACTGAGAAGCTGATTTTATTTGCAATCTTTTAAAAAGAATCATAACCTACTCAATCAAGAAGGGAGTTACCATGGCAAAGATTATCCCTAAGCCTAAATAATACATTTCTAAATAACCCTTCCTTAGGGTCACTTCAAGTGAAACCCAATCATTAGTTATGTGCCTGTCTCCTCTTCTGAAGATGCTTACTCTTACTATGGCATCATTCACAGGCCCAGGCATCTATTTTGTACTTAACCACAAGAGGCCAGGATAATGAGTGCCAATTGGCTACTTACTCAACTAAATAGAGAATATTGTCCTCCTAGATATCAAAATGATATTAGCATTAAGAAATCAAACCAGATGTCAAACTTAAGTGATTAGAAATGAGTTGCAGTGGGTTGCAACAGTTATTTCAAGGAGTAAGAGGCACAATGAATGATAATTAAGATGTAAATGGAAACTCCGAACTGGTGTACCATGAGTTTCTTAGTCATGATAAGATTAATCAGTTATTGCTATTTTTGAGATGTTATCGAATTACTTTTTTTTACACCTTATTCCTCATTGCAATTTCCTTCATTCCCTCACATTGATTTCATCCTCTCCTGAAAACAATGGTTATTGCTGTGTCCTCCAGGACTTCATCCAAGTGGGGATTTGTCAGGCAGGAAGCTTGGCTGTGAATGTTGGTAACTATTGAACTGTTGGGCATCACAGCTAAGCCTATCCTCACCTAATATCCACTCATGTGCACTTTTCTATCATTAGATTGTTATCAGGAGTGGAAACCCTGGCTGATACTCTCTTCCCACTGCCCCTCAGTTCATTGTAGTGCAGCAATGCTGCCCCAGCTGAGACCACTTAAACTTTGCAAAGGCCAAAGATCAAACTTGGAACCTCCCTCTTTATAATGACTCAGTAAAACACTACAAGGCACATTCACCCATTGAGCCATTGAAGGATCCCTCATCATTGCGCTAAATTGGATTTTCATATGGAATCGTTCAGATTTTAATTATAGATTGCAATGCATCAATGAGGATGTAAACCATTAGGATTACTGGACAGATACTGAAACCAATGTTATTCATTTTTTTTAAGACCATATTGAATGCTATAACAGGATCTGAAAATTAACAGAAATATTTAGAAGGCATACTTCAAATATTTATCACAACTTTAATCTTTCAGTGTAGAACTGGTAACCGTTTTACTTGAGAAACTGTGATAATTGTATTACAGAGATCAAGACAATGGAGCCAGACAGGTTTCAACTTATGTTCAGTGTTAAAATACCGGAGATTTAGTCTATAATCTTGATTTATTCATGAAGAATCTGCAAGTAAACAGCTTTTAACAGATTGCCAGAAATGATTTTTCCCATAATTCGGCTAAGATAAAAATTACTCATGTGCAGATTAATTTATGGCAATACTCCATCCATCTCTGAGCATTCATCAATCAGAATTAACTCTACTGTAGAACTCAAAACTAAAACATACTGTTGACACACGTAAACAGAAAGCCAATTTTGGCACAGAGAATGCCTTCATTGACTGTGTCAATTCTAAGTAAAAGTAAACAAGGACTGAATTTTCATAACCAAACTGTAATCAGTTTGTGAAACAAATGAAATAATACAGGAAGAATATTCTTAACTGCTAGCAATGATGTTCTTGTTCTTCCCACAAGAACATAGCCTAGGGCCTCTGGAATAATAGTGAATTGTTAAAGCTCAGTAAGCTTTGCGCCTACATGCATGGGCTTGTGAAAAAATGTCAACAGTATTTTGGCAAAAAAAGGTCAATACATGGTTTTCGTATTTGTTGAAACTTATCAAGGATGCCTTTGTGAGATGATGTTGTTCAAGTATTGCACTCTATTGTAAAAGAGGCACTTTTGATTTGTGACCCATGTATTTCCACATGCAAAAACCACAAGATGCCACAGATACACAATATGTACATACCATGTACCACTAAGGCTTCAAACGCCTAAATGCACATGGAACTAATAAACATTTCCACCTACATTTTATACTTCATAAACATAACGGAAATATATGAATTTTGATAAGAAAATATCCATAGAAAATGGATAACACACAAAAAAAAGTTCCCAATTAAAACTAGTTCTGTATTTTCTTGGGGATAGTCTCCACACCGTCTGGAGCTACAAGCAACATTACAATTGATATTAAACTAATGTTGTTGCACTTTTCTGGTTCTGTATTGGTATTTAAAATGAAGGGAAATAAAGAGTAATGAGGCACACACTACCCTTACAACTATCGGATATCTTTTTGACACATCTGCTAAAGAGTCTCAAGTGAAACATGTCAGGCTAGTCTTACCTCAGTTCCCATATGCACATGGGCCCAAAACACAGTGTTACAAACCAAAGATGACAGCAATGGTGAAATTGGAGGCATATGATTTTTACTCATCAGTCAGCTGTCATCAGATTTACATTATGATAACCTTAAAGGTCGTCTTGTGCCAGTAACTAAATAGGTTTTAAAAGTGGTAAACAACATCTGTCGCACGTGCCACTGGGAATGGCCTGCATGTGCTTCAAGCTGAGTTCCCTGCTATTTTATTGTTGGTGTTCCCTGTCTGAGTGAATGATTTTGTTCCATTTTCAGTGGAGCAACTGAACTGCGTCTACCAGTAACTATGGGAAGAAGCCTTTTCATCAAGCTTGAAAGTTGAAAGAAGGTGATCTCATGCCAGTATGGATTGTTTTTTTGTAGAACTCTCATGTTAAACTCAAGGATAAGCGCTGTTCTGTATCACCAGCTACATTTTAATGATAGAAAAGGGTTGATCATTGCAGTAGACATTGCTTCAGGATGTATGGCCCAAGACTGAAGAATTCAATGATTCAGCAGTGCATCTTATTTAATTTTTATTTACTATTGTGGGTGATTTATTTGATTTTATAATCAGTAAGGAAGAACAATGAATTCTTCCTTCGCATCTAAAAATCATAACACCCAAAAAGTATCTCTTTAAAAACCAATTCAGGATTCTGACTTCAAAGTTCTAATATTTATATTTTCTACAGTCTTCATAACAAGAGACAATTTCTCATCAGAATGATAAAACAACGTTTTATTAATGAGCATAATACAGCTCCACATCTATTAGCCGAAGTGTTCAATGTTAATTCAATTCATGTTGGTCTTCCAGACTCTTAAATTTTAAACAATAAAAAAACGAAACATTTGCCCGATTAATTGGCTGCCTAATCTAAATTTATTGCACTCAATGCTGTGAATGGATCATTTTTCACTTTTTGGCACTCTGAGAATCAGCATCAAACATCCTCAGGTTAGATGGAGCACAACACAAATACAGCAAAAACTCTTGTAATTCTGCCCAATGATATGGCTTCAGTATAACCTCAGACAAGCAGTCTGCACTCTGCATTGCACTAATAATATTCTTTATAAGAATATTAATCCCCGCAGCTAGTGCTTTTCACATCAGGATGATATCTCAAAACACTTCAAAGGGTTTTGGGTGAAGTGTAGTGACTGGGTATTCTGTGGATGAAACATGGCCAGTTTGCACACAGCAATGTCCCACAAATAGCCATGAAGTGAATGTCCAAATTTTGTTCTTTGAGGGATTGTTGAACAGGAAATCAGAAGAAACTCTGTTCTCTTTAAAATCCATTTAAATAGGCACTTCCATTTGTTTCACACCACCACCTATCAAATGCTCTGATTGTGTATCATTTTAGTATCAGTTGATGCCAAATTACAGGCCGATTTTGTAGAAAAACATTTAACGAGAATTTGATTGATAATGTCCAAACTCATTTTACTTGAACTCTTCCAACCCCCAGAGACAAACATTCATTCACTTCATCAGCCTGGACTGAATTCAAGGTCATATTTCCCATAGGTGAAAGGGCTCTTATTGCTCAGTCACCTGTTTTGAATATTCTGTGCTTTTCATGCTATATTCATCAATAGAAGTGGTCATTTATAATTTACCAACACTTTAAGCAGTAGCCATCAAACTCCAACCACTTTTACACCAAAGGGTTAGCATTTCCCCTTTGTATCAATCAATTTATATTCATAATGTTTTTTACTAACAGA